CCGGGCATAGCCTGGGGCTTGGCCCTCAGGGAGCCTGCTGTCCGCAGGGGGATGGGCAGTGACAGGGTGCCACTTCCCTAGGGGCCCCCTTGCTGCACAGGAGAGCCGGACCCCTCGCCCCGGGGCCAGGGGACACATGCAGCCCAGCCAATGCTCCATGAACTCTGTCCCCCAGTGAAGCACTGGAGGGAGGTGACCGCTGACCAGTGGGGTGACCCCTGCTCTGGTCCCTGCCTCTGAAACTACTATCCTGGCCAAGCTAGCATGTGAGACCGTCTTGTGTCTCAGCAGCGGGTGTCTGGCTAAATGCCCAAAGGATGGGGTGGTCCCTACACCCTGTTTAGTTCTCCAGGCCGACCCCTGCCAACACGCGGGACCACGGCCGACATAACCAGGCAGATGCCCCGTGTGGGCCGCTGCTCAAGCGCATTGATCTGGGCACGGGTGGGGGTGTGCCGTCCGGTGGGACAGGCAGAAGCACAGTGTGGCCGCTGGCTGGCTGACTGGGCAGATGCCTTTGTTTCTACTGCAGTCACGACAGGGTCACCCAGTTAGAGCTGTCTCCTCTCCTGCCACGGAGACGCGGACCAGTCAGAGGGCCCGCCAATGGCACAGGCCACCACGCCGTGCTCATCACGCCCACCGGACAGGACGAGCCCACGTGCCCCTGGGGCGGACAGGAACCCCACCCCAGCCAGGACCTGTCACCACAGTGAGACCAGGAGCAGGGGGGGCGACCCTCCAGAGTGGAAGGCCACTGGCCACCCCCGTGTGTCCCCCCAAGCCTGGCAGCCCATCATGTTTTGGAGACGCACAGCATTCCACACCCAGGAAGGCTGCTGTAGCCACGTGCTGGGGGTGTGGACGGCCACGGGCTTGGGGAGGGCTCAGTGCAGGGCCACACATGCCCCCGACACCGTATCACAGACCCCAAGGTGTTGGATGCGTCGGGCGGGAAACCACAGCCCGGAGCTCGCGATAGACCCAGGGGGCAGTTCTTGGCAGGACCTGGATGCTGGTGCAAGGCCACCTCTGCGTCAGAGAGCTGGTGCTTCCTGTGAAGCCCCCGGGGAGACACAGTCCCTGTGGAGGTCCATCCCTCCGTCCCTTGGAGGAGCAACCCCATAGGATGCTGGCCCGGTCCCCGCGAGGCTCATGCACCTTCGGGAGCCGCTCTGACAAGTGGGCTCAGTGGAGGGGTGGGGGCTCCAGTGGGCAACCCCCCCCATCACCCATGCTGACCCAACATGTCAGCAAGGAGAAGCAAGAATAAAAACACAGGGGATGTGGAGGCAGAAGGTTCTGCGGGAAGCAGGCTGGGCCATGGGTCCTCATGAGTCCTGGGTGGCAGAGGGAGGACTGGGTGGTGTGGGGTGGCGAAGGGCAGGCTGACCCCGAGAGGGCCCGGGGCCCGGAGGGTGTGGGCGGATTCCACTTTGTCCCGTTGATGCCTGGGGCCACTTGGCTGTGTTGTCCTGAGTTCAGAGCAGCTTCGGGCCGGGCACAGGGAAGGGAGGAGACAACCGGGGTCGTGGGGTGCCCCGGGGCTTTCTGGAGGCCAGGCCCTCCCCCGACCCCCTGGGTGCACGGGCCTGTCCGCCCGTCTGCTTGGGGCTCACACGCTGGGCACTGGTGTGCAGACGCCAGGGCCGTGCAGGTGGGCGCATCAGCGGAGCCACGCTCCCCACCTGACAGGAGCCCGTCCTGTGTGCGTGGGGACCGTACGCTGTGCTTTTCACTCCCCGCAGCACGGAGATGGGCAGGGGCCCAAGGTTTCACACGAGGAAGCACAGGTTTTAAAAATCGGGAAATGTTAGGCAGGGGACTTTTAGTTAAACATGAAACGCTCGGATTTTAACATCCATTCATTCCTTAAACCCACCAAACTGACAGCAACCAAGTTAGAAAAACCCCAAAGATAAAACAAAACAAAATTACAAGACCCAAGCAAATGGGAAGGACCAAGCGTGTGAGACATGGGTGGGCTGCTGGGACCCAGGGGATTCTTCCAGCCAAGCCAGTGGAGAGGCAGATAGAACCTGCGATGGGGGAACGTTCCAGAATCAGAGCCCTGGTGCGGGCAGGCTGGGGGTGGGCCTCAGTGCCGCGCAGAGAGACAGACAGACAGCTGCGGGCGGGAGAGGCTGAACTGGTAGTGCGCCCACGGAAACCCTGTGGCGGGACGAAGACCCTTCCCACAGGACGGGGGTGTCCGGGCCCCCCCAGCTGGCTGCCACAGTGCTCACAGGGGAGGCCCATGGCCCCTTCCGTGAGGGACCTAAATTCCCCAGAAAACACAGACATCCACGCCCCCAGGGAAGGACCATCTTCCTGCCAAACCGCACACTGATCGTGTCAGCTGAGAACCTATCGCTTGTATGTCAGGTGTTCAAGCTGGGCATCCAGCACTGACACGATTCTTTCTCAGTGAGGCCGGCCGCCAACGGAAGCTCCACTTTAATGACCCAAAATTCCAAATGCCCGTAGGTCCAGAAGACCGGCAGCTTTCAAGGTCTCCCCTTCTGCTCTTTACCCTTCATTGTTACATGTGTGGGCTCACACATTCCTCACACGCACGTGCTCACACATTCCTCACATGTGCTCACATTCCTCACATGCATGTGCTCACATATTCCTCATGTGTGTGCTCACGTTCTCACATGCATGGTGCACACGTTGCTCACACGTGTGTGCTCACACATTACTTACATGTGTGCTCACACATTCCTCACACGTGTGTGCTCACACATTATGCACACCTGTACTCACATTCTCACACCATGTGTTCATGCATTCCTCACACACATGTGCTCACATGTGTTCACATTCTCACACGTGTGTGCTCACACATCACATGCATGTTCGTGTGCTAATAGGACAGACCCTGCCCTTCTTTCTTGCTTATATTCTCCATTATCCAGTGGGAAAGCAGGAAACAGGGATGTGTTTAAGGCATGTGGGGACATGCGCTGATCCATGACAGGCTGGCAGTGACATACAACCCGTTCTGATTCCCGCTGGAAGCAGGAGTGGCTAAGGGGAGCTCGGGCTTCTCTAATGAGCTAATTATTACACTTCATTTTACTTTGCAAAGAGAAATGGGTGAGCATTCTTGCCTTGTAACTTTTGTGGGTGCACTAACGTGTCCCAGGACCGACAGCCACCCTGGCAAGCGCTAAGGAGGAGACGTACTTGACGGACAGCAGCTGTGTTGTGCGCGTGACCCGAGCGAGCGGCAGCGTGGGACTCAAGCATCGAGGAGCGCTGATTACTTGCACCTGCCGCACCCAGGGAGGCCTTCCCTCATCCTCACGCTTCCCCTGTGAGCCGTTCCCAGTGAGAACCTAGCACGGTGTCGGCAGCATTCATTTGCAAAGAACAGCAATGCTGGGCCCTGCATGAAGTGTGGGAAGCACACACCTACACTGTTTCTACTGTTACAAAGCTCTTATTTCACAATTATAAAACGTCATATGAATTCCTTTAAAATAAAAATGTATTCCTCGCTTTATTTCCAAAGTCCCATTCTATCAACAAACAAGAAGGCAGAGTTTATAAACTGAGGACGGACAGCGAAGACACACAACGTAGGCTTGTGCTTTTGTGGGAGGTGGGCTGTGGTGGGCGTGCGGCCCCCTCTGTCCACTGAGACACCAGGTGCTCAGTGAGCCCCCCTCATTTGTAAATGTGGCCAAGGCACCACGGTCTGTGCTCAGCTCTGCGTGATCAGACTCAGCATCTCTCTGGTCCTCCCTGTCCATCTCATGGGGGGAAATGTGTGCCCACTCACCAACACTTGCCCTTCCTCAGCTACCGAGTGAATTGAGAACCTTGGAATTATAGAAAAAACACCAACAGGGTCACATAGGGAAGGGTGAGGGTTTTCAGCAGAGGAAGTAAGGTCCGGCTACCGTGGAGGAGGAGACAGGAAGCAGATGTGAGGTGGACCGGAGAAGCCAGGCACTGCCCCCTTTCTCTGGTGTGGGCATGCTTGGGGACCCGGGCCGTGGTGAGTGGGGAGCACAGGACCTACCTGGAGGCTCCTGGCCACCTTTCCTCTCTCAGGGCTCCGAAAGTAACTCCCAGCCAGTTTCCCTGGAATAGTCTGCCCTCTGTTCTTTCCTGGGCTGCACCCTAAGATGGTCCCGTTGGTTCTGGGAACTCTAAGAAATGGATGTCCACATCCTGGAAGTGAGGCTAGAACGGTGGATTTCAGGGTTATTCTGGTTGTCCAGGTCAGAGTGTGGTTCCAGCCCACAGTCCAACATGCCTAGGCCATCGCGACCCGTAGGCACAGCACACAGGAATTTGTGCCCGACATTTTAGGAAGGAAATTTGATACACAGATGGGTTTGCTTTCTAACATGTGAGGAAGAGTCTCCATGGCTGAGTCTCAGGACGGCGAGGAGAGTCGGTGAGACCATCAGGGGAATAAGCCAGGCTAACAAGCATCAAACCAACAGCAGGATTTTACCACCACAAAGAAAACTAACATGATCACCCAAGGGTTTAGGGAAATAAATTTACTATAATTCACCATTTAGGTATTGCAGATGCAATTAAAAATACATTTCAACAGTAAGAATTTGTGGTTCTTTCTGCTCTTCCATTTTAACTTAAAAAAAAGTCTATGAGATCGTCTGAGTCAGGGCGCTGCCAGGTGTGGGCCTCTGGGGACACGTGCGGTTGGCTCTGGCAGACGGCAGCTAGGGCCAGGTGTGTCCACATTCACCGTGCGCATCCCAACAGGAGAACACAAATGAGAGTCTCTCTAGGGAACGGTGCTTTGCGCCAACCAGACCAGCAAAGACGAAGGCAGAAAGGCTGTATGGTTTGGGCCACGTGGCTACGGCTCATGGCAGACGTGAGTATTCAGCGAGCACGGGCAGAAGCCTATTCAGTTCACTGAAGTTGGCACCGGTCGCAGAGCACAGCTTCACGCGCAGCAAGGCCAGGCCTCCCCACCGCCCAAGCAAGCTTCCCTTTTAAAGCCGCAGGCGCTAGGGAGCTGACTCCAGTCCACCAAACACGATGGCATCAGAACCAACACGGACGAGACGGTACCGGAATTGTGGAGACTAAGCGCGGTGACGCAAATGGGGGCTGAGGAGTCATCCGTGGGACAAGGCCTCTGAGGACCCCGAGAGTCGGCCTGGTGCCCTGCGTGGTTCAAGGTGACTTGTGGCCGTTGAGGTCTCAGTGAGGACATCGGATCAAGGGAGAGCTCACTCAGCCCGGCTCCCACTCAGAAGCCCACCTGCTGGTCCCCACCCACGGCGTCTGGCCCGCCAAGCTCACATCTGGGCACGGCCATGGAGCTGCCCTGCTTCCCGGGTCCGTCCAGCTCCGTGGTTGGGTACGAGCTCCTCTGCCGGTACAGGCGGATGGCCACGGCAGTGACGCAGAGCAGGACGAATATGGCCACGGCTACCACGCCTGGTGGGGGGGGCGAGGGAAACGGTCAGGGCCAGGACGGCGAGTGTGCCCAGCACACCCCAGCCCGGAGTCCCCGCTCACGGCCCACCCCCCGCCGCAGGCCTCTACTGTGAACTGGGGACCCTGAGCTGTAGGGGCTCTCGGTCAGGGGGCACGTGGCCTTCTCCCAACCTTCTAAACATTGCTTATCTTGTTCCTGTGCCATCAATTTAGAGTTGGATTTGTTTCCCGAGTCCAGAAGTAAATGCACTGTGTCTCCCAGACGAGATGCTCGTCAGTAAGCAGACACGCTCAGATTATTCCCCAAGTACAGACTGCACCATTTCTTCACAAAGTGCCTAACATGTTTGTTAAGGAAACTGAGTTGTACACCCTTGTAAAAATTATTTTAAAATAACTTGAATATGGCACAGTGATTTATAGCCATATGTGAAATCTCTATGTACACACACGTGTGCATGGTCTCTGTCACTAAATTTGTCATAGGAACATGCTGAATATGGGAATTTATAGACTCCACGGTATTTGAGATCTCCACTTGACAACGTTTTGATGATTAACACCAAAGCCTGTGGTTCTCAACCTTCTGCACGTTAGACAAATTTAATCAAATCTCTAAGTGGGAGAAATCCATGATTTTAGAAAGCTTTTCAGTGCAAATACCCATGCAGATCCCAGAACACCGGGCTATATCGAAGCCAAGTGTTCATGCCTGTCGACCGCACCCCCAAGAACGAGACGTCAAACCAGAGTGGCAAGACAGAAAGAACAAGAGTAAGAGTGAGCACTCTTTCCTAGGCTTTGCAGGGAGGGGTCTGGCCGGGACTGAGGCCCAGCAAAGCCCGGGTCCCAGCAGAGCTGCTGGGGACAGGAGAGGCCGCGGCAGACCTGGCAGAGTGTCCCCGAGCTGCTGGGCGGACACTGCAGGACAGGTATCAGGCGCTTGGTAATGTTTGATTTTTATGTCAGCTTTGGGTATATGTTTTCACCACGATTTCATCTGAAAATGATGGTTTTACCTCTTCAGCTAAAAAGTTGTGATCCAACACTTAGCCTAATGTTTTCTTCATAAAAACAACCCACAGTGATGTGTGCATTGGGACAGTACCTAAACCCCACCACGCAAAGCTCCCCAAACACACCACAGATGGAGAATGAAGCCCCTACTGCGTCTCCACCACCCCGAGCAGAGGCCAGCTTGGGTCCACGGCCCAGAAACCCATTTCCTCAAACTGCACACCCTCGGGGAGCTGGGGGCCTGTTCGCAAGGCCAGACCTTTTCATTGTTAGATGTGTTTACCGTAATTCCTTAATGGGCCCCTCAATGAAATCATCAATTACGTATACAGAGAGTCTCCTACAGGGCTGGCTTTGGGAAGATGACATCAGAGAAGGTCAGACTCCCCAGGCCTGAACTAAACAGCTGGTTCCTGGGAGATAGGAGGGTCTGGATCCTCTGCTAGTGTAGACACTGCCCGAATCCCCGCGACGGGTGAGCCAGGAACGCACCTCCAATCAGTGCCGAGCGTCCGTGGGTCTCGCCAGCCATGGGTCTCCCCTCCTCCACCACTCCAGGACGTTCTGCAGGGAGGAAGGAACACAAGTCCGAGGGGAATTACCTTGTAAAAGTGGAATTCGTGTGGTTTTAACTTTAGAATTGTCAGTCTGCATTAAGAATGCTTTAATTGGACGGGGCGCCGGGGTGGCTCGGTCCGTTAAGCGTTGGGCTCTTGATTTCGGCTCAGGTCCTGGACTCAGGGCGGCGGGATCGAGGCTGGCATCAGCTCTGTGATCCGCGGGGAGTCGGCTAGAGAGTCTCTCTCCCTCTGACCCTCCCCCGCTCACACAAGCTCTCTAACGTAAATAAATAAAATCTTGAAGAAGAAGAGGAAGAAGAAGAAGAAGAAGAAGAAGAG